AAACAGAAAATTAGGATACCACAGCGAGAAAGGAAGCTTTCAGTCAATGATGATTCCTGTTCCTAACCACGTACAATAACGCTGCCTGTGCCCACAACTAAAGGAAGAAAGGCAGACTGCATACTTATATGACCTTTTCCTAAGATTCTTTATGTAGCCGATAATACATTTCAGTGACTGATTTTGAGATACAGCAATGGATTTTGAAAATAGCACATCAGAACTTACATTTAGTCCACCGGTTATTTTCTCAGTGAGTGGCACGATGTTGACAGACAAAAGTACTGCAAACTGGGAATATTTCACGGCCGAAATACGCTCAAAACGACTGAACGTCGCCTCCGCAAACAGAGCACTCCAGGCAACATTTATACAACTGTAAAAGCAATTACGATACTTCCAGTACAGTCTTACCCAAGATGCTACAGACAGAAATACTGAGCTAAAAAGATACGAACAAAAAATCTTCCTCGCATTTCTCTTCTGCTTCTCACTCGCCAATTGCATCTCCCCACCCAAGTCATTACTTATTATTTCAGGAAACATTTCATTTTTACTGCATAAAGTTAGTCGAAATGCAAAAAAATTATCCGAAAATGACTGTCAGCGAAGGTAAGCAGCTTAAGATCAAATGATCGGGTGTACTTACGCTCAGCGTACGAAAGCATTCCAATATCATTAACACGGAACTCCTAATCGATCATCACGAAGATTTTGTCATTCTTGGCCTTAATTTGAAAGAAAAATTTTACATAAAATGAGGAAAGATCTAAGGGAAGAAAAATCGAAAAATTTGGCCCATTAATGTGAAGGATGTCATCTCTAAATTCCATGCCTTCTCCAAAATCTGTGAGTGCGTAAACTGCCACAGAGATCTCTAAACTTGCACATGCTGATAAATTGAAATCGTGATAATGGGTACAGATGTAAGCAGCCACTATTCACGGAATTCAAAAGTGAATTCATGCATAAAACAGACGTTAGCAAGACCATCGAGAAGTAGCCCCAATGACCTCAGCGTAAACTCACGTAACTTAGCCGAGAAGAAACATACCTGTAAAATGCATCATACATAAAAAGACCAATTAGTAACTGTAATCCAATAATGTAAGAAAATGACTGATTGGCGCTTCCCCATGGAAACCACAAAAGTAAGAATGATGCGGCAAGGAATGGACCAAAGAATGATATTACTTTTGTGCGACAATGGAACCAAGTACTGCTGGTATCCTGGAACCAAAAGATTGAAAAAAAAAAAAAACTCAAAAATATGGCAAATCTTTGGTGCGTTTTTAAGCAAATAAATAATACATTTAGACGAATAACTAATTTTCATTTTCTTCGATAATCTCCCCAACTGCTTCTCGGACGATGCATTTCGAGACACGCAGAGCATGTGTCCTTCTCGGACTGGGGCATGAAAGTGGCGCGAAAACGAAAAGCGCAGATAAGTGAGCAAGTCGATGTATTTGCAGACAAACTGTATTAATCTTGATACTTATGGCATTGAAGCACACATCACAAATGTGTTGTCCGTGGTGCAGATCACGAGTATGATAACTACGTTATACCTGCAGCACCCGCACACTTGTCTCCCGTCATGTTTGCGAGGTTACGTCAAATTTCACGTGTTCGTATGTGAGGAGAAAACGCGGGTGTTCTTTTAACGTGCGGCTGCCCGAATGCGGTGCGGCCATGCCAGTGGTACTTGTGGCATTTCTTAGAAATATAGCATAATGAGATTTTCAGGAGTGTGGTAACTCGTCCTGAGTTTAGTAATGCAATGTATGTCAAACATATGATTATTCACAAAAGTTGGGCAGTTATTGGGAGGATTTTTGCGCGGTATTTGTGCTTAGATGCTTGCCGTTTTCGCTATAAATACAGTATGCTACCTGCGAAAAATACAGTACGCTGTAAGCTAAAATTATTACCTGTGCGTAACCGAAAATTGGATCGTTGAGCGCATTCCACACAATAAACAGGCCCTGGGTGATGGCAAACCAGAACTCATCGATTTTGAATATGTTCAAATACACTTTCACATAATAAAACATGAAAAATGTTTGAAGAACACTCATGGCAAACTGCCCGCTGCACAGCGCCACATTTACGCTCACCATTTTCGCGCATCCTCTATCGTATAGTTTCAGAAAGAGATCCCCCAGCTGAAATCACAGTTCCTCGTATGTTGTCGACTAATTTATTCGCAGCGCCTAAATTCAAATGCAAAATAGTTTCCGGTGAATTATAAATATTGGGAATTTTGTGAAGTGCTAAAAGAACACAGAGAAGACCATCGGTGTAGCTGATGAAATTAAATGAACGTTCTGAGCGGCATCAGTGGCCAGAAGTAACGCGACGATGAAACGATTCAGTGAAAGAGAATAAAGCACCGAAATTGTCACTGACCCCGCCGATTGCCTATCACGTTTTTCATCGTTCTGCACGGATCAGCTAAACCTCGGCTTGGAATACTTGCGTGACTTGTTCCATTATTGTGGAATCCAGTACAGGATAGCTGATTCGACCAAAGTCCTGGAAGAAATCACTGTAAGCTCGAAGGACTACTCGTTCGAATTTCATGCTTCCCTCGGATTTCGACACACTCCACTGTCCCTCACACTTTTATGCATTTTGTGCCGTGTAACAGCAGTACAAAACACACATTGTTACAGGGTTGCCTGTGCGCGTGTTTGTGTATGTGCCCGCAGCAATTTGTCCGCAACTTTCACCTCGGGAACCACAAAAGCTAGGAAGCTGAAAATTTAGGGGAACGTCCCCCACCCACGTGTGACCCCGGGAACCACAAAAGCTAGGAAGCTGAAAATTTAGGGGAACGTTCCCCACCCACGTGTGACCCCGCAAATCGGGAACCCAAAAGCTAGGAAGCTGAAAATTTAGGGTAACGTTCCCCACACCACGTGTGACCCCGCAAATTTAAATTCAGCTTCCCCGTACCCGCGGGTAACGCGTACGGCCCTGCACGTGTGACCCCGCAAATTTCTCAGCTTCCTCGTACCCGCGGGTAATACGTATGGCCCCGTGAAAGTTTTTCACGGGTAAATTAATATCTCGGGAACCATGGAGTCTAAGAGGTCGAAATTTTAGGGTTATGACTCCCTGCTCACGCTCAACCTTGCCTATTGAAAATCAGCGTTCCCGCGCTCTTGAGTATCACCTACGGTCTCATGAAAAAAAGTTTTGGCGTGTAAACTATTAACTCGGGATAAAGATATTCATCCTTCAAGGTTTCGAATTCAGCTTTCATGCGAAGGTGCGTGAAATTTTTAATTATTTTTCAATGTTTGAACTATTTTTGCATAGACTAAATTACAAAGCAGTGAAAATCATTGATGGGCAATCGCTCGATGGGCTGAATTGCACGAAATGCATGATCGCACCGGCTAGTCTGGTGCGCGTTGCAATTTATTTTTATAATTTCAAGTACGACGGGGATTACAACCCTCGCCCCATCCCCGCCCCTCTCCTTCCTCACTCCCACCTTCAATCACCGCAACTCGTCTTTCAAACCGCCAGACCCGAGTCAAGCCGAGTTTTAGAGCAGTTACCAAAACTCAGCTCGGCCGCCACTGCGAGATGATCTCGCTTCTCTGCTAATGCTATTTTCATAGCGTTGGTTGCCAGTCTCGCTTGCTACTTTGCCAACGCTGGGTAGAATTACCTAGCGCTCGGTGGTTGGAAGACGTGGTTGAGAGATGATGGGTACTGGGTGCCTAGAGAGCGCTCTAAAGACAGGAGTTGGAGTTGGGGCCCCCTTCCCCATCTTACTTCGCTTTTTCTTCGTTTTCTTCCCTTCATATTTTCTCTCCAACCTTTAAATCGGATAGAGAAGGGGAATAAGAGTACTGAATAAGAGTTCGAGGCAAGAATTGGAGGCAGCAGTAAAGCAAAAGAGACGACACAGTAATACACAGAAACGTAAATTAAAGCATCCCTGAGCTTATGAAAACCCAGGCTGGAACGCACCAGGCTCTCCGGTGCGATCATGCGTTTTTGCACTAAACTCGCAGATCGCTATTAGCAGGAATGATCCGTACGCTGTAGCTTAACACTTCGGTCACATTGACGTGCTTTGATCCTTTACGGTATGCAGGAGAAAGGGTGTCAGTTGGGATGAAGGTGGTGCATTATACAGCCGAACGAATATCCAGGTGCCCGATTACCCGTTTTTTGCATGAAGTCCGGTCGTTTTTCCGGTAAATGCTTGCTATGTGAAAAAATGACAAGTGCAGATTTTTTGAAAGAATGCAAATTCCCAGTTCACTAAAATGTGAAAGTATTGCTCGAGTGGTCGTTTGTCAAAAAATTCA